ATACCTGGAAAATGATAGGTATGTATGTATGTCTGCGGAAACATACATACCTTGAAACTATAGGTATGTATGTATGTCTGGGTTCGTAGTGATATATAGGTAAATTGCCTTCGCAGTAAAAGTTGTCGATAGCCTAGAAAGCCGCTTCACCAAAAACCTGCCCCTGTTGCTTTGCGGTCATGACAATCTGGCTTGATACAGTTTAGTAATTATCATATAACTAGCTGATCGCATAGAGACTTGGCATGACATGGCCCTGCCAAAAAGGCAGAACCAATTGATGAGCTGGCTATGCAAGTGTAAACGCAATTATATATATATCGTATAGTAATAATGCGCGCCGACGTTGTGACAAGAACACCGAAACTCAATGAGTTCAGCATATTTCAGCACAACTAAATCAAAAATGAATGCACCTTGTAACAACATGTAACAACCCAACTGGTGGACCCTTGCTTTTTACCTGCTGCGCTGCAATTGTATTATGTAGCAAATATTTTAGATCATATATATATATATATATACATGCCACGTTGCACCTGTGCAAATGATACATATCATATATATACATTTGCATGTTATTGTGAGCGTATGCATTCCTGCGTGTCGCAGTGTGTGTGTGTTCTTAGTGGCTATGGCTATGTCAACTAAGAACTGGCCTTCATGGTTTAACATCTAAGTAGGTTGGAGGATGTGCCTCCATCGCTCTTAGGTCTTAGATTGGAGGCTAGTGCTATTAGGTTCCATGCGGTCCTTCAAGGTTTAGAATCCTAAGTCGCAACATCAGCGGCTCCTGGATGCTCGCGGCCCAGTGGCTTCACCCTGAACGGCGTGAACATCCAAATGGACATGTAACCTCTAACTGGTTGCACCGCGTATTACACGGACTCCAGGGGGGAAGTGACACTGACAACGATTCCATAACCTCAAACCATTCTGACATCGAACATGGATGCGTGTATCTGGGGCAAGCTCCGTGATCTTGGAATACGAAAGGTTGAATCAACATGCTTTCTCTCTCCATCTCTTCCTTTTCTTCTCCCATTCTCCAGGTACAATATGGTACAATGTCATTGCTCAGCGCTTTGCCAGAATCAATATGCGTTCAGAACATTATCTACCATAGCATTTCACTGTCTATTTTGCCCACGGGAATCTGGCCTGGGTGATTTTCTCACCTCTGGTGTCCTCAGCAGGAACGCAGTTTTGCTCATGTGGCGCCCTAATGGATCATGAGGTCAGGGAAAACATCGCGATGGCCTCCAACCTAGAAGTGACGGCCTCCAACCTAATAGCATTGAGAATCATTCCACAAGTACGCTGATGTCGTGGCAAAATGGGCATTCCCAGGACTTGATACCAAACAAAGACTTAGCCTGCAGAGGCTGGTGAAACCATAAGATCCATCGCCCCTGAGCTGCCATGCTGCGGGGTCCCGTCTGCAGGCCAAAGCTTGGTCATTGGTCATTGAAGTGTGTTCAATCTCTGGATCTTTGGTTGCCTTCGTTGTCTCTCACCTGAATCTACTGCAATCCTTGTCATACCGAGCCCCTAGGGAGGAATTGCAGCGTTTGTCCTCAATCACGATGTTGCTTGTTGTCTCACTGTCTCAACGTAAGTGAGCTTCAAGCCCTCACAACATTAAAATAAGCAAGCAACTTTGCCTTGCACCCATTCTGCAAAACGGTAGCCTGCGGCTCTTTGCACTGTGAATCTCAAGCTGACTTTGTTGCAAATGCGTCTCATCTGTATGAATTCTTACACATTGCTTGCCATGTGAAAGTGAAATGACCTGCGAAACAGTTGCTCAGTAACCTGGTACAACCTGGATGCTCATGTTTTGCCAAATCTTCCTATGCATCCTAATGCCGCTTTCCCAATGCCCTTTCGTCGAAAAGTCTACAGTATCTCAAATCACTTCTTGGGACCCCTCCAATGCACAAGGCACTAAGTCACTAAGTCCCAGACTCAAAGGTGAGGAAGTGAAAATTGCCTCATCTCATAGCAATAAACGCAGCAACCCCAGCACCAAACATCACGTGAATGAATCAGCATTGCTATCCCCGTCCTCCATGTCATTGTGCCTCTGGGCAAGGGAGGCCGCCTCCCAAATGCGTTTCTCGGTTGGTGTTGACCGGAAGCAGCCTGTTGTTCAATTGTGTTCGACATTGGTCAACAAATGTCTTCATTGTGCTTGTGAAGCCACTTGACATCTGGCCACGCAACAAAAGTAGGGCACCCCGTAACCGGCCCGAACGTCTTGAAACCGGCGGTGACACTAGACATATGCATGACATGATAAGTAGTATATAGTATAATATATATATATACAATTTTTGAATATACAGTGTATATATATATATATGTGCGTGTGGTGCATAGATGAGAAACTCTCGTGCAAAACGCAAACTTCGCAGCTTGTGAAAGCATTGAAACTTTGTGGCAAGATCATTGGGTGTGGTCCAGATACTGTCTCAATGTCCAAACTCTTTGTGCAAAATCATCTCTCATGGACTCTCAAGTCCTCAACTTCACTGGGTAACCCAACCGCAGCATACCGCGCTGCTAGTTTGGCAGCAACGCTCTGGTCATCCTGCACATTCGATAGGGAAGCCAGGCAAGTTCCTTGAAGCAAACTTAGAATACAAATCCTTGAAAGGTGAAAAAGGTTTGCCATCTGCCGTCTTTTTTCACCCGGCTTGTGCAACATGAAGTCGGAGTCGGAATGCTCCCTTTCAACACAGCCATGGATCAACACGCCGGCCGAGGTGACAACCTTGGTGTTGACGAGCGAAGGAGACAGTGAAGTGGAGGCTTTAGTGCAAGGAGCACAATTCACAATTCTGGCACTGCATCATACATTCGCCTTTCATGACTTGCAAATTGCAGGAGTTTCGTTTACTTGGGAACAGGCTTGGTTCCAGCCCGGGATGCAGCCATGCAGTTTCTGAAGAATAACAGGGCTTCGCATGTGACTCAACACTTCAGGTGCCGACATTCAAAGAGTCAACCCCATCAGCCATGCGCACCTGCACTCGGCCGATGCTCCGCTCGCTTGCGTCAAAGGAGACACAAACAAAGGACATTTCAGAATTCTGATCTTTAATTAGAAACAATGTTCGCTACTAGGAACAAGTGCATCATAGTGCATCGCTACTAGTAACAAGTGCCTTACTAGTAGTAACAAGAAGCTATTAGAATATATTAGAATTAAGTTTAATTCTGATCTTGGATCTGTATTGCAACAATAGTCACATCACATCTGCAGCCGTGGCAGCTGCGTGAGGAGTGAGTCCTTTGCAAAGGACCTTTGAGTCGCGCTCATATTTTGGTAGCGGCTTGGCGTGCCGGCCGCAAAAATGACAACGGAGTACGAAGAGAAACTTTACAAAGAACAACTGGATTTGAGTCAGCCAACTACCTTCCAGTCATTCTGCTCCCCTCTCCGCCTTCAAAGGAAGGTCACAAACTGCACGGACAGCGGCGCTCACACCATAGTGCTCGGAGCCCAGAACCAATGCCCAGCGCTGAGGCAAAATGGGCACCTGCTGATATCGTGCGTTCAAAAGACTGAGTTCACAATTACGAAATCCCTGGAATATCAATCTCCACCATGGTGCCAAAGCCAAAGACTTGCCCCAAGGTTCACATGCGTGCATACCCCACTGTTTTGAAGCCCTACGAGTTTGGTCCAAGACATTATCCCGGCATTTAGAGTCAAAGAGCTCGAGTGCATGGCATGGTAGAGATACCATGACAAATGAGCGCGCCCCGGAACAGCACCGGCGCTATTAAGAATCACTAGTGTGACCACATTGTTTTGGAAAATGATGGCGGAAATGAAACAAGTGGTACAGTCAGTCTTTTGGGGAATGATGCGATAAAGGCGAACAGCCCAACATTTGACATCCGAGGGTGAGTTGAAGAGTTGCAGGCAGCGTAGCTGATACAAACACTGTCCTATTATATTCAGAATGCTCTGCGCTCTCTGGTCAGTTTCCAGATGAGCCGCGGAATTTAATTGTACTATAGTGTCAATTGCACTATACAGTGCTTATTTACTTTGATGGGGAGCGTTTTGTTTAGATTGCTTGAGTAGCAAGTCACATGTTGCCATGCTTACATGACCTCCTTTGCTCTTGCAGTGTTGCCTCAATCAGGTTGCAACATTCACTCAATGGATGCGATCAATGGTGTGTAGTTGGATGTAGTCTGTTGGTGTGTGTGAAGGGGGGCCCGTTCATCCCAACAAACACCTCGTCGAGAAATTTGGCATCCTGCACGATGGCGGCCATGGTCATGACCTTGGCCTGCTTCAGCTCATCAAGCATCGCCACCTAGCTGGAGCTATGCGGCTCTGAGTGTCCACAGGACAATCATTCCCCTCAGTGAAAACCATATGAATAATCTACACGGCAATCTATCGGTCAAGCGCTTGTTTGAATTACCGAAGTGAGTGGCTGAAAAAAAACACTATATAACATTCCAAAATCGACCCCTGGTCCAAGTCCTTGTCCTATTTCTGCCCCCAATTGCGCCCAGTCGCAAGATTGCCCTGGAGGAGTGGAATGTGGAAAACATGGCCCAGCGAGACCTCAAGTTGTGCTGTGGAGGTCCGATCTGCCCTTGCTTTGCGGCTCTAAAATGTCCTTCCGCAGCGAAGCAAGATTTCAGGCCGGGCCGTGATTTTTTGGGGCGGCAAGAAACATATCAATTTACTAGGTACCGAAGGCCGCAATGTTGGCAGAGCAGCTCGGACGGCGCGAGGAGAAAGAGCATCACAGCAGTCTGTTGAAAGCAGAATCGCTGTAGCACCGAATGCCGCAGCAACCCTCCTGAGTGGAGAGGGCTTCCTCCACTTCTGCAAGAGCCAATGCTTGACAGAATCAAAGGAACAAACCTGTTTACAGTCATTAAATACTCTACTTCGAGTGATCCCCACCATGACATGTCAACCACCTGTCTTCATGCCATGGTGAGGAGCACGTTGCCATGGTCGTGGGATTTGTGGCTATCGACCTTGTTTGTGGGTCCTCGATTGTGGTTGTGTGTTGTGGTTGCATGCTGTGGTTGTGTGTTGTGGTTGTGTGCTGTACATGTGTCTTTGTGGGTGTGTTTGTGGTTGTGTGTTTGTGGCTGTGTTTGTGGTGTTTGTGTGTCTGTGGCTGTGTGTTTGTGGATGTGCTTGTGCTTGTGTGTGGCTGTGTGTTTGTAATTGTGTTTGTGGCTGTGTTTGTGGTTGTGTTTGGGGTTGTGTTTGTGGTTTGCGTTGTGGCCGTGCGTTTATGGTTGTGGTCGTGTTTGTGACTGTGTGTTTGTGACTGTGCTTGAAGTGTGTTTGTGACTGTGCGTTTGTGATTGTGTTTGTGGTTGTGTGCTGGTTGAGGTCCGGCGGGGAACACTACCAGCCGAGGCTCGCGGTTGAGGACGATGCGGAGGACGAGAAGGACGAGGAGGAGCAGGAGGAGGAGGAGGAGGGCACGAGCTAACATAAAATCTAACAACCCTCACCTGACAGATGGGGAACGTATACATAGTTACCTGACCGGGCTTGCTCCTCCTGCAGCTGCAAGTCATGAAATGTCAAGCCACTTGGCCAATCTTGGCCAAAGGTTCCATTGTTGCAACTAAGCGTCACAATGGTCCCAACATTCGCCGCATCGGTCAAACCATCAAGGACCACGAAGCGCAAAGGCAGCAAGGCCGCTGAGGCGAGACCAAGCGAGGCAAGATCGCTTTGGGGACACGGTCGGCTCGCCCAAGCGAAAGCCAAGTTCGCAGACTTGGCTGGCACAGTGATTCCTGTCACCTCCTCCGCACAGGTTGTCCCGGCGAGTCCCGAGCACACGCCAACCTCTCCCTTTGCATGGAAAAGCCTAAAGCCAGAACCGTAGTCACTCAAGGCCACCTTTCAGCCAACCACTCCGCACATGGAACACAATGGAAGTACTGAAAAACAACTGCTGCATCCTGCTGCTGACAAATGCTGTGCCCTTTTCCTGAGCTCCTCCATGATTGATAGCTCGCAAGCTAGAACTTGAGAGGGCCCAGAACCAGCAGCCCGCTCCAGCAAGGTTTGCTGAAATGTCCCTCCCAGCCTTAGCACCCCAACGCCGATGAGGCCAATGTTTCTGAGCAATGTGTTTGTTGTCTTGCAGGAGGCATCTTGCACATTCATATAATGTGATGCAGATTGTACTGGCACCTGCCCAGAAAAAGAAATAGAATATTCAGAAGATGTGTGAAAACGCGGCTTTTCTAGAAAAACAATCGACATAAGAATGTGTGTGTGTGGCACACTCTGTCTCCAAGAGTTCCAGCTTTTTCATGTAGCAGGGGTGCCAGGGACCAACTTTTGATCAAGCTGTTCACCCCACTCTTTCCTAAAGAGTTAGTGCACCGATGTTCAAACGATTCTTGTTTGCTGACCTCTCGCCATGCTGCTTTGCAAGTCAAGGTCTAACTACAGTATGGTCAAGTGCTAACGCATCCGTGATCCAGCTTCAGAACTTTATGCTCATTCAGTTGAGCTACAGTATATATCTAAGTGTGTCTTTGTGCCTCCACGCGCGCAAGTGTAGTCTCAAAATCTCTGGAAACTGCAAGACATCACAGCCGGACATGCGTTGAAGCAACATGTGGCTTTGCACTAGGATTTTGCCGCAAGTGAAGCTGCTGCTCAAGAGCATCAAAATGGCCTCCAGTCAAGCATGGCAGTGCCTAACCCTTGAAGCTTACAAAAAACAACAGAGAAGACTAGTCCAATGTGAGAAACTACTATTGGTGCGCACCAATCAGTAAGGTGTTGCAAGTATGATAAGTATGTCGGTGCCGGCACACCTGCAACAAGTATGTGTTACCTTTTGCGTGGCCCTTCCCGCCTCGAAGCCCTCTACAAGCAGCTCCTCAAATAACGGCTTGCGGTGCTTCAGCCCGCGAAAGCCTCCAACCAATCCACACAGCACAACGGCACAACAACACCACTTCATTGATATTCACTCCCATTCCACCGTGCTGCTCTTGAACATCTGCTCAGTAAGCTTGTTCTCAACCGTAATCACGCCATACTTAGATCCTCTCCATCATCAGGGTCACAAACTTCCATGATCACGTCATAGTATATCTTTGTCTACAGTCTACAGTAATTCTTCTGGGTGCTGAAACCCTGCCACTGTCCAAGTGCTGGCACTCCTAGCTCAAACCAAAGCTATTTTCCATGTTATTTCACCAAAGAGACCTCCCCAGCCTTCCAAACAAGCATCATTGGCATCGTTAACCTCCACGATCAAAGAGAAGACTTCGGCCATGACATCTAACAATCACAAACGACTGGTTGTCATTCGCAAGGCAGCCGATATCCACCACATTCATGACGAGGTGCAGCGGGGGACCAGTGTTGCAGAATTAGTTTCGATTTGAAAGCAAGCGCCTTGATGTCATCAAATGCAACGAAAGCATACGAAAGCTATATAATATGTTGATCGATGCAATCCAAATGTTCTTGAGCACACGCGCACTCTCAGCTTGATAGTTTGGTTGTATTCTGCCCAATAGCTCAAAGCCAGCAGCAATGATGAGCGGAATATTAATTAAGGTCCAAGGTTGTTCCACATACTGTAAAGCTACAAGTGATCGTACCAGCCTCTAAAGACCTGCTTTGCATCATCCGTTTTCTATGAAGGTCCGACTAGTCACAACGGACATGACGTCCATACCGATCTATCCGCATGCTTACCTTCCTTTCATCAAACATACATTCTTACTTCTATGCACAAAATGCAATGGTAATTTCTCTTGTTGACTATTTAAATTTGTTTAAATACGGTTGTCATAGTGGCTCCTTGTTCCAGGGCAGTGGCCGCCCTGCCGGCCGCGCACCTGAGGAGGGCAATTTCGGTGCAACATGCCACAACAACTTCGACCTAATTGGGGTAACAAGGAGGTATACTAGGGGCTCCTGGCATCGCTACTAGGAGCAAGGACGCTACTAGGGGCTCTATAATGCCTTTCAAACATGCCGTGCCTTTCAAACTGAATTTCAAACACCGTCCTCCGCTAATGGTGATGGCCTCCAACCTAGGAGCAATGGCCTCCAACCTAATAGCGATGGCCTCCAACCTAAAAGCAATGGCCTACTCTTTCAAGCACCGTCCTTCGCCAAATCCACTTAAACAGTAAAGGCGCACACACACACACACAAAGACACACACACACACACGTTACATCACGTACATACACTTCTGGTCATGAACACAAATATGGACGAATGCGCCTGCTAAATAACTTTCCCACTACGAAGGGCCCCTGGCCATTCTCCATGTTAACGTCAAAAAACAGAATGCTACCCCGGCTGCTACCGGCATCATCCCGGTCATAGGGTACTACCCTGGTACTACCGGACCATAGCCTCTTGCTCATCTGCCTTGACCATGCCCACGGGTCTGCCTCTTGCCGCATTCGCCGGGCGTCTCGAGCGTTCCATGCGCGACTCTTTGGTCGCTTGGCTCGATGGCATTGAGGAGAAACGGGCAAAATGCGGCTGTGGCTCTGTGGCCCTTTGTGATTCATCTACACGTTGGATCTTTGTGGGCCTTCTCCAAAGCAAAGTCAGCAAACGCACAAAACCATTTCCGGTGAGATCTACCATGTTCTACCCAGATCTCACGTGAGCCCTGAGGTGAACCATGGTGAACCCGCATGCCTTGGTGATTTCGACTCCTAGGGGTTACTGTCCATTCCGATTCCCTTCTATTCATTCAGGGGAACGGAGTCCTGACCTGTCTGTGTCTTTGTACATCTCTATGTGCAGCCTTCAATTATTCTGAGAGAAGGAGTCGCGCAACATGAACGCACGCATCAAGTCATAGAGACGACATACATCCGCACATGCCCATGACTTACCTGTCACGGAGCAAAGCACCCTGACTGACCATGGACAAAACTGAGGGCAGCTACTCATCCGGACCAAACTTGGTTGCATCACTCCTGTCTTCCAAAGCTTGATAGCCTACTTGATAGCAACCAAGCTGTTCTCTGAAGTTCTGGGGGCAGGAAGAACATGACAAACCTTACTGTATCTGTATCTCTGTATCTCCTCTGCATCCCGTCCAATGCAATTCCGGAGCTTGGCACGCTTTCTTCAAGCCAGCCATGTGCTTAGTTTTGCACATGCAGTCTGGCCTTTGGCCGGGAAAAACCCATGACATCCGCGCTCATGATGGCCGTGAACTACTATGTGGCAAAGCCTTTTTCGGGAACAAAAGTCTCTCGTCTCCCGTTTCACAGGATGAGTTCAAATGATGGCCGTCGATTGGGTGTGGGCACGGGTTGGGTGTGAGGAACTGTACTGCCCACAGGAGGGCTAAGAACCTCAAGATCACAAGGCGGACTTAGCCGGAGCCAATGGAGTCTGGTCTGCTTTCTGTTCGAAGGTCTACATAAAGAAAGTCATGAGTGAGAGGCAGTGAGAGGCACATGATATCTGCATGCTCGGCCCAGCCCCACCACAATCCGACAAATGAACATAATAGTAGCTGAAAAGGAACTGCTTCAGGGCGTGGTTAATGGAGGGTTGTACACTTCTCTCGCTAGGCTTTCCGAGCAACACATGACAAACAAAAACCAGGCCGTGCATGTACCAAATCAATCAGTGTGATTTCTTCTGGCCATTATTGCCTACTGCCCATTTGGCGACTCCATGTGGCCAGTGACCTCTGGACTTGAACCCAGCTCGCGATGCAAGACGGCTGCACTATTTTTCATGGGGTATCCTGCGTTCTTGCAAGAACGTGGTCATATAGGACACAATCAGAGCTTGGATTAAATCAGGTTTAAGGAAATAGATGGAAATAGATTCTTCAAACTCGTGACGCAATCTGGGAACTGTTCAGGCAGACCTTTCATGGTCAAGTTTCACATTGTGAGCCAATAATTGATGGCCCTCGTAGTCCTGTCTACTCGGTCGGCGCTGCTTAGAATCGTTTGACTGCGAAGCTTCGCCAGCTGACTATTTGGCCAGGATGGAATAAGACATGGTGTGAGCTGTATGATAAACTCCCATGAAACCATCCAGAAACACCAGTGGCCTTGAGAATCGAAGCAAAAGTGCTCACTGTGGGCATCACTGTCTGCGAATCTGCCGCACAGTTCTTGAACCCACGACCTCGGCGGCACACATCTTGCATGAATGCCAATGAATGATGGTTGCTCTGGGAATCTGTTGGTTATGCGCAGCCAGCGGTGGGCTTGGAGGCTACCAAGGGGGTTCATATGGCACTGCTTGACTGTGCACCTTTCCCCATTGACAGCGCATCACCATGGACCATGATGTTGTTCACAAAGTGACTCCTTACCCTGCACAAGTACTTTTAGGCAGCACCCGGATCATTGCATGTTGACAAGTGCAAAAGGAATGATATATATATATAATATATAATACTATAAAACTGAATTAATGATGTCCAATGTCCGGCCCGAAATCATTTGGCTGGTCATGCTCAAGAACCACCTCCGCAAGGGCTCCCGTAAGTGGCTCTCGAGCCCCAACACCCTCCCGTGAGTACAGCGCAGCACAAGCAACTGTGAAATTCTTGAAAAACTCTGCCTTTGGTAGGGCAGCCATGTTGCACACCCAAAACCAGTTTTGCCAAAGCCGCAAGCAGTGCACTGGAGCTCCGGTTGAGTCCTTCCTTGAGTCTGAGCTTACTATATATTTTCCCAACGTGACATCATTGACGAGCCAAGTTTGACACCATTGACGTCATGAGTTTGAAGTCCAGGGAGATCCTCTTGCCTTTCGTTTGCACCTGGCGCGTGAAGATGGTGAACCAAAGGACGACATACCAACATACATAAAATATCATACGGTGAAATATTGTGTATGTATATGTGTAAAGACAGCGTTCTTGTTTTGAAACAACAACTAGTCTGCGTAGCAAAGACTGCGGTACACCATGAATCGAAGTGCCAAAGGTAAAGGCTCAGCTTAGCGTGCGGATATAAGTATCATCATTCCACGGCTTGCTTGGCGCTCGAAGACGGTCAAGCGTCCTCAAATGTTTCCTGGATGCTTTGTTTGCAAGTGCTGAACAGCTAGCCCACATCAGCCACCGAACCTAGTGGTGTAGAACAGGCACAGTGACCTTGTACCATCCAATGGGCATCCCCGTGAACCAGTTATACTAGTGAAATGGATGTCGGTCCCTGCGGAGAAAAGAATATACATACATACATACATACATACATACATACATACATACATACATTACATACATTACATACATACATACATACATACATACATACATACATACATACATACATACATACATACATACATACATACATACATACATACA